GAAATATGGGAGGGGCAAAACCATTTATTTAAGCAAGATGGTTAAGGCAATGATCCTAAGAATCTCCATCAGATTTTTGAAAATAGCAGTTAATGGGTAAATTTCTCACCCTGACTAAACATATATGCTGATATCTGTGAACTAACTAACTACACTGAGGATAGCAATGTGTAATACTAAAACCATGTTTGAGACACGTGCCATTTTGGTCATCTAAATGCCTACTGATTCTAATGTCATACCAATTATTGCTCTATTCTCTTTATTTTTTATTTTTTATACTCTCTATTAAGTATATTTTAAAAAGGTAATAAAATAAAACAAAAGACAAGAAAAAAAGTCACAGGATTGTCCTGCTACAATGTTGTATATGGTTTGATTTCTAAATTTCTGTGTAAGATGTGTAATTGTCTTTTTCACATTCTATAGGGATTTAAATTTTAGAATATCCATGGTTGCCAGAAAATAGCAGTTGCATGTTATGTTGAAGTATTTAATATTCAGACAGACAGTGATCTTAATCTCAACTGCCTCTGTTACAGGGTAGTAATATCATTAAGCTTCTCTTCTGGATGTTTAACAACTCAAGTTTGCAGATCAAAAATTAGAGAAATAGAGAAATAGAGGGGCTAGATGGATAGACAGTATTTTGACCCTAGCACTTCAAGGTCAGTGAGGACTCAGGACATAAGAGAACCTGTACTGTGACATCTTATAACTCAGTGGTGTCCAAAATTTTCTGATCAAGGAGATTATGAGGCCACAGAGGAAGGTGATTGCTGATGTATTGTGCATAGGAAGAGTCACCTAGAGAGAACAATTTTTCAGTCTTTCAAAGAGAGAAAATTGGTCAAACAATGGCTATGACTCATCCAGATGGCTAACACTGACAAAAGATCTACAAGGTACTGTACACGGTGCCAGAATAAATCCTGAAGAGATTTGACTGACCTTGTCAGATACAAAAGTTACATTTTTAGTTATATAGTCTTACTTTCACCTGGTCTTAATCATCCAGCAGAAAAGTATAACCACGAGGTATAAAAAGTAATGCCATATTAATATGCTGAGCTGTAAAGGCTCAAGTGAACAACTTCTGACAATTGCCAGTTCTGCTGATAACCCACTACCATTACAGACTGTTGGACTATATTGTGTTATTTTGCTGAATTTAAGTACCTAGAATCTTTAGATTGGTTTCAAGTATGAAAAGGTCCTTTAAAGAGTTCTACAAATACAGCTTCTCTAACTGCAGTGGAACACCCATCTCTGAAAAAACAAAATGGAAAAGGGGGATATGTTGGGAGCCACAAAGCTAGAAAATTGATCAAATATATGTAGGTGGGACTTGGCCCAATGCCTAAAGCAAACAAGCTACCTCATTCCTGAGATGAACATCCCGTCTGGTTAATGTTTGCTATCAGTTGCTAGGCAACCTAGTGTCATGTGTTACTAACTTCACAAAGGTGTAAATGAAAGACAGTTTTGTTGTGAAAAAAGGGAGAAGGAAAATAATATATATATATATATATATATATATATATATATATGGAAGATAGGATAGATATACAGCTACTTTCTCTTAGTTTAATAAGAATAAAATTTGTACTAATATTGTTTAGACAAGATATCATGTCTGAATCTTGTCCTCTGAATAACTACTATGAAGACAACAATATGCAGTGCATTAATTATTATAAACATTCTACTAATCTGCTTTGAAACTGTTTCATCAATATCTTTTCTCATTAAAATGAATAAAGTTTTAAAAAGTTAAATGCATAAACTTGCATATTTATGTAACGACCAAAATCAGCAATGCTCAAGACAGCAGGATGCTAACTTTGTAAGGGAGGTGTGGTCTAGTTGTCCACATTCCTCCAAAATTCAGCAACCAGTACTTAATGCTAAGTATCTAACACCAGGGTGTTGACATTTGGGAGGTGAGGACGTCATGACAGCTCTAACATCGTGGAAGGAATTCTTGCCACTAAGAAGAGGCTTCAGGGAGCTTCTTTCCCTGCCCTACTGTGTGACCACAGAGCAACAAGGTCCCATCGGTTGAGCCAAGTATAAACCCTCACCAGACACCATCATCTTCAATTTCACAACCTGCAGAACTGTAAGCCATACACTTCTCTTGGTTTTAAAGTATTTTATAACCGGGTGGCAAGACCAAGAAAGACTTTAGTAGTATTTGGAAGATGGCAACAGTGAGGATTCAGAGAATTGAAAATGCTCTGTGTCTGCCTAGGAGTGACGGTTACAATGTTCAAAGAAACTTAGAAGTCATTTACTTGTGACCCTTCTATTCTTGAAATGCATATATTTCTTGAAATTATTTTTCAAGTTCTTATCCAAATTTCTATCTCATTCATCTGATTTTGAATATTTTACTTCAGAATATTGAAGCTTTTACTTCAAAATCCACTCATTGCTCTTATTGCCCCCTCCCACCATGTTTGAGGAGTTGCAACCTTGCTTAATTTCTGGATATATTCCTTTCTTTTGTCTTAGATAGCTGATCTTCACAGTAACTAATAGAAGGTGTTTGTCTATAATTTCCTCTTTTTGATTGACACCTTTAAATTCCTTCCTGCCTCTGTAATCAACTTTATCCTCCTAGCACACCCAAGGGAGTTATGTTAAGAGTAATTTTAAATTAGCCTACTTTCTCAACTTCAGTTGAGATGGGTGGAATTGTCTAGCAAGAGGCAATACTTGTTCAAATAATTTTTGATAGTGGGTAAATCTAAATCTGCTGTATACCCAGTTCATTCCCATGTATCCATCCTTTTTTCAGCTACCCTTGGATTTAAGTGTTCATTTTCAGGGGCCAGAGAGATAGCTCAGCTGTATAAGTGCCTGCCTAGCAAGTGCAAAGTTCTGAGTTCAATTTCTGGTACTGAAAATAATCATAGTGTTCATTTCCACATTTGTCAATCTGGTTGAGAGCTCCTTGAGTCGGACTGGCTAGTCATTTAAGCTCTGTAAGTTAAGGAAAGTCTACAAAACACTCAGAGAATGGTTTTAGCAACAGAAGTACTTAAGAATGAGAATTATATATATAAAACCTAAGTAAAAAATTATATTTTGTTGGTAATGGGGAACAAAATGATATCTGAATCACCTGCAATAGTTTTATATTAGTTGAAGACAGCAGGAGAGAGAAGAAACCAGTACTTAATATACAATATGTGCCCATCCAAGAGATACTCTCCCTTCTCACACTGAATTAGTGTGGGAAGTTACCCAGGACTATACACCAACAGAGTGATCCAACTGGGATTTCGACCTGTGGTCTTCTCTATCTCTGCGCCTCAGTTCTAGGAAGTTTAGTGAATTGTGTGTGTATACTAACACAGCAGGAGCCACTGATTGCTTGCATAACATCTTAAAATAAATTCTAATAGGCCTCCTTTTACTTTGGTGGCTATTATTTAATATCTAAATTAAGAAGAGATTATTTTATAGCTTTTGTAATGCACCACTTTCAAAGTTATCTATCAAACCAGTTGGAAGTCATGGCTGGAAATTCCTAGAGACTCCTGATAATGGGGATGAAATTCCTTTCATTAGTTCCACTCACTAGCTCAATAACTGAACATAGTAACTAGACTTCAGATGGATATTAAACCCATAAATTATTAATATTCAGAATAAAATTTGATTGCCACCATTTTAAATACATGACTTGATTTCTGAATTAAAGAGAGACTATTACTTAAAGTTTTTAAATACAAATTATGCATTTTGAATTGCTTTCCTGATTTCTTCCTTTTAGGCAAATAAATATTAAAATTATTTTTAATGATCACACACACAACACACAATTTCATTAAATTAGTCAAAATTTAAGTGTGATTTATCAGTGCATAGAAAACACGTCTGTGATGGCATAAAATTATCTCAAGTTTCTTAGAAAAGGAAAACTTTGGGCCAGCCAAATAGCTCAGCGGATCAAAGTGCCTATAAGCAGGTGCAGAGGCCAGGAGCTCGATCCCTGGGCCTGTCTTGCTGGACCTACCCTGGGGGCACTCTGAGATGGCAATTGAGACTGGGAGTGGTGGCGTACTCCTGTAATCCCAGCTCTTGGGAGGCTGTAAACAGGCGGATCACTATGAGTCTGATCTAGTAGTGAGACCCTGAGCACCCTGTAGACCCTTCCCTAAAATACAGAAAGAAAAAATAAAAGAAAGAAAAGCAAGTTTCCTTAAAGTAACCAGGGTAAAGCTTGATCTAGTGATAAAATCTACCTTATCTATTAATGATATCCGTATTTCTCCATCTTTAGACACTAAGAACTCAGTGAGTACATCTCATTTTAGTGTGAGTGATGGCAAGACAGTAGCAGAGCTTCAGCAGTCTTTGCATGTAGTTACTGTCTTGAGTTTTCTGCCTGCCTCCTGCTGCCTGAGCAGCGGAGTGGAGGTGACCTCTTCGGTGTAACTCTTGCCTGTCCTGCTGACTGAGGCAAGCTCAGAGGGAGTCTGTGCTTGTCAGGAATAGGGATCATACAAGTGGCGAAAAGTGGTAGAAATGAATGTGCCTGAAGCAAAAGAGGATACAACTGTTTTTTTTTTTTTTTTTTTTTTTTTCTTAAGAAGCAAACAGGTCATGGCAGCACGCGTCTCCAGTCTCAGCGCTTGGTTGATCAAGGCAGGCTAAGGGGAAGAAATCTTAACAACGCAGGGTATTCTTGAAGTAAGTGAGAAGGAAGGAGATTCGATCATAGTGATCCTATTCCACAAATCTGAGGCAAGCCTCATTCGGCCACATAGTGAGTTCCAGGATAGCCTGGGCTGAATGGTGAGACCCTAAAACACACACACACTCACTCACACGCACACACACACACCTTGCTCTTAAAATATTTCCTATAGTTGCTACACACAGTGCACTTGAAAGACCTTCATAGAAGTACAGTTAGACTACGCAGGGAGACTGCACTACCGTTTGCTGGCTTGGGAGCAGGGGCCTGAGGAGCAGGGTGTGAATACCTTTGCTTGTCCAGCCTTTGTAATGGCAGGAATGTTGAAGAGCTGTCCAGTGTAAAAGTGTACCCCGCTGAATAGGATCACTGCGATCGAATCTCCTTCTTTCTCAATTATGTCAAGAATATCCTCCAGTCTTAAGATCTCTTCCCCCTAAATCAAAGCAGACACAAGTTATGCGGTAATCATAATAATGATTTGTCACTTCATAGTTATCTAAGTTTCACCAGAAGAAAAAGAGAGGGGCCATTTTTATTCCCACACTCATGTAGTGTAAACACCTGCCAGGGAGCAGTATTCTGGTAGATAATTTCGTTATTGAGAAGTGATAATAAGCTTGTAGAAAGGAGTTGTTTAATGTCTTAGTCTTTGCAGCAACATATTCATTTGATTTATCCTTCAGATTTTCAATTAATCTTACAAATTTTGTATACCCATGAATTGTTTTCTCATTAAACACAAATTGGTACTCATAAAACACTCAAATATAAGAAATCCATGAAAAATGATATAACAAAAAGTTTGTTGAAAACAAAAGTTGCATTTATCAATGTAATATATTTTTTTAGAAAATAGTCACTTCATTGTTTTCTTCTGAATATTAACTAATTTCCATCAGTTTAACTGTAAAACCTTCTCCAAACTAATGAACAATATCCAATCCTGAAAAATAAACTCATCAATTTTCACTAGCATCCAGTTTATTTTCTTCTGTATCATCCTCCTATAACTCATGACTGTGAGTTAATTAATTAATTAATTTTTCTATATTTTAGGAAAGGGTCTACTGAGTGTTCAGGGTCTCACTACTAGATTGAACTTGTATTGATTCTCCTGTTTACAGCCTCATGAGAGCTGGGATTACAGGCGTGCACCACCACTACCAGTCTCAATTGCTGTTTCAGCACGCCCTGGGGTCAGCCTGCAAGGCAGGCCCAGGATCAAACCCTGGGTCCCTGCACCTGCTTGAACATGCTTTAATCCGCTGAGCTATTTGGCAGACCCATGACTGTGAATTTAGATGTGTCTTTGCCAACAATTTAACCTGAAATAAATTGCTTAAATAAAAAGTACCTTCTTGCATTCTAACAATTACAATCAATTTAAAAACTCTTTTATAAATTCAGTGTTGTTTGTCATGACTTTGATGTCCACGCATCATTAATGAGAGTAATGTTGGAGTAAAACTTCATGACAGATTCCTACAATACCCTTCAGTTTATTTTTAAATTATAATTCTTGATATTTGCCAGTCACTCTGATAAGTGCTTTAGGTTCCTTGTGGTTTGTGTGTGTGGGGAGGGGGGGCTGTGACTAGAATTGTTTTCAAAACACGTAGAATCTTTTTTTTTTTTTTTTAGAGGAACCAGGGATTGAACTCAGGCCCTTGTGCTTGCCAGGCAAGTGCTTATTCTACTGAGCCATCTCCCCAGCGCCAGCTTGTAGAATTTATTTACAGAATAAGAACAAGATTGATATCGAAATCTCTCAAATGCTAAGTCAAAATTATGTTTTAAATACATAAGGAGGAGAATGCAACATATAAAGAGAATAAATTACAAGAAAAGTTCTAAGTAAAGGAGAAACTTTTATTCATAAAATAATTTAATACAGTTTCCCACCACAATTAAAAATAAAGGTGAGGGATAGTACTGGATAAACTGATAAGTAATTTGTTTATTTAAAGTATCAGTATTAGGAAAGGAAGAAACTTGGTTCACAAAGATAGGGTAGGGTTCTGTTTCATGTTGACCCATCTTCTGCTCGCAGTGCTAAACACTTGTCCCAATATTGTGACTAACTTATAGGACATTAAAATTCTGGTTATTTATAAGATTTAAACCTGTGATTTTTACTAGCTGTACTCAATGATGCTAGAGATTAGTACTTTATATAAGACATGTGTAGCAGCTATCTTCTCACAGGTATGAGAAAGTTTTATTTCACTAACTTCCAGCATATTGGCAAATAAAAGTGAACAGACCAGGTCTTAACTTTTTACAAAGTAATTCTGGATAGAAGAAAATAATTGTTTAAACATTGACTTCATATGCTGGAATCTTTACATGTAAAGACTAAAAATTATTCTGTATGATTCTTTTGATGAGTTACACAACCTGCAATGTTTATATGGTCCAATTCTGTACATTGCAGGCTCACTTTTCCATTAGGATAAAGAACATAGTATTTTAGATCTTTAATATATGACCAGGTTGTGTGAGATGTATCCTTAGTAAGTTGCTTGAATATAATAGAGCCCCAGATGAGCTAAAGTCACATATCTATAGTCATATATCCATACACTGAACGGTCTGGTAACCACTCTCTATTAGTCAGGCAGTAAGGCTCAAATTTTTCCCATTATAACTTATCGTTCATTCCAGTCTAAGCACAAAAAAACATATGTGACACACGGATTACAAAGATCCTGACCAAAGATAGTCATTTAATTCCAGCAAGTACCACAGTTCTTCAGTCTACTCTTAATGGCATCCCTGGCCAATAACACGTAGATATCCAATTTGTCACTCTTGAAGACTATGTAAGATTTTAGTAATATAATTAGAAAAATAGTTTGCTTGCCTTATAGCTAAGCCTTTAAAAATGGAAACAAATATACTGAAATTATTTTATATTTTAAACAATATGATGTAATAGTAACAGAAGGTTTTTTATGCTTCATTGAAAGTTCCATTAAAGTAATGAAGACCTTTTGAGGAAATGGAAGATAAAAATCAATACTAAGAGAGTTATGATGAATATTTATTTCTTTGTCATATACCTCTCTCGGCTTTATTATCCTCATACTTTTCTCAACATCAAGCCCACGAAGTTGTATCTGTGACTCAATAGCATACTGGAAGAGAAGGAGACTTTTTAAATTAAATTGAACTGAATGCACAGAAGTATATTGAAATAACAACTCTGAAAGCAAACAATAAAATATCAATGGAAACATGTTATTGTATTAAAGCCAAGGTCAAGATTAAAAACACGTTATTGTATTAAAACCAAGGCCAAGATTAAAAATAACCAAAGTATACAACAAAGAAAAACTACTTAACATGAGTTAAACAGGGATCTGAACATTCTTTAAAAAGTACAAATTAGACTAGTGGACTAATACAGAAGATATTGGACTTTAGAAGTTACAAGATATTTTTAATACTAAAAATCGGCTATCCCAGGTCAAAACCTGAATTTCAAAATAAGTAGCGAGAAACATGGACTTGTTACATTTCACCAGGATATAAAAATAGATTGGCATAGAAATAATAAGCTACTGAGATGAAAGGATACTAAAATATCTACTAGCTAAGTCTTGGAAACAAAACAAATTCCAATGAACTGAGGAATGTATAAAAAATGTCATAGTTTTACATAATGGAGTATCACTGAGCTATAAAAAAAAAGATAAATTTGAGCTATTTTTTTAGATAAATGGATGCAACTAGACTGTATTGGTAAGTGAAATAAATCAGACCTACATGTGTGCAAACATTGTATTGTCTCACTAGTTTTAGAACCTGAAAGAATAAATAAAATCTGAAAGGTACAATAGATTCTGTGAAAGTGAAAGAAATTGTTCAGTGGGAAGGAAAACCAGGGATGAGATAAAGGACACAACAAGGAAGGGAAAAGAAATATTTATGTATACACATGCAGGATAATTTGGATAATTGTACTGCCAATCTCTTCTGGTTTTTGAAAATAGCAATTGATGCTTAAATTTTTTTTATTCTTTTTTTCTTTATGATTTCTTATAACTGTTGTTCTTTTTTTTTTTTTTTTTTTTTTTTTTTTTCGGAACTGGGGATTGCACTCAGACCCTTGAGCTGTTGAGGGAAGCGCTTATTCCACTGAGCCAACTCCCCAGCCCTTGTTGTGTTTTTTTTAAAACCACTTTTATATCTGGTTTTAAAAATTTTAGTTCCGACATGACTAATTTGAGGAAAACATCATGTAACACAGCAATAATTGTTGAATTCCTATTACTTTGTTCAGTGAAATTTTTTGCTGTTTCTAAGGATTTTTTATATCTATTTTTACCATTTTGTATTTTTTAAAAAATAATCTACTTTTTTGCCAGTATGATATACATGGAAGGAAGCTGTCACAAGGACCCACATTTTTTTTTAAAGATATTGGAGTTTCACTCCTTTTTAGTAAGGTAATGGCTATTAATTCAACAACATAATTTTTACACACTGTAGCATTACAAGATGTGGGCTAGAATAATCAACATAAATATAGAAATCAAGTTCCTCTAGCACTAAAGCTGAAATATTCAGCTGTGTGTGTGCGTGCATGCGCGCGCGCGCGCGCGTGTGTGTGTGTGTGTGTTTCCAAAAGAAACAAATTTATCAACTGAACTGCTGCTATGGTAGCACTCTTTTGTGATCCACAAGAAATATTTTTAATCCTTAACAAATACATCTTTTGATAATAAGATATCGATAAATATGCTAGCATGCTATGAAAAAGAGACAAACAAAAGCTTGCATTTCAATTTTATGTAGCTAAAAGTTTAACCATTGGGGTTAGTATTGATTTGGCTCTATAAAATAAAGCAGCAACACGAATTAATAAAACTTTTATAACCACACTTGATTTAAACCAGCCATTTACTCAATGTCTTTTAAAAGACTAATAAATCAATGTTCATATTCAGTCCTTTCCTCCCTTAACACATGTTTTAGTTGAATAACAAAAATAAATCTACAATCTATAAAAACTGCTTAAATCAAAAGCATTTGACAGATGTTTCTATTGTAAAGTTACTTTCAAAAAACTAATGAATACATATTCAAGTCAGGCAAATGACACATCCCTCTTACAGAACAGGAAGAATAAAAATATAATGTGAAGAAATTCTTACGTGATCAGAACAGAAGGCTTTGGCTTCTAGAAGAATTTTATACCGTTTTGGTGTAGGCTTAAAAAATGATAACTGCAATGAAATGGATTTATTGAGAAAACATTGAAACACAATTTACACTTTTATCCCTTCATGCATCACTTCTCCGCTTATAATTTCAAACATTTGGAAGGTACTAATTAAGTATGCAAGATACCTTTTAGGGGTAACTTTTCAATTAGAGTTGTTTAGAGTAAATTACAGGGAGGAAAAAGATATATCGACTCTTTATGCTTATCAATAGTAAATCCAACTTAGGAGAAAATGTATATCAGAGAAACAACTTCTCCCACTTTGCTTAGATGTTAATTGAAAATTTATCATCCAAAGAATGTAATGGTAATGTCTCCAGTACGAAACTGAAATACCTTGTTCTATGTATGTCTTATTTATAATGACTTATCATGCACTACTAATTTGGCATCCATTATATAATTTTCCACTCTTTTCTTTATTTTATAGTATTTTATTTCAGATCTTACTAAAAGTATACCAATGTGAAACATTTGTCCTTATATGCACCAGCGAAAAGTAGCCCATTTGTTCAATGAGGCTCTTCTACTTCTATATATTCTGGAGATATAGACTGAGAATAACAAAGGAATGACTATTAACTAGTTGTTGATTATGAGCCAAGGTGTTAAGCCAACTTTCACTTGCTATCATATTTAATCCTCCTGTAGATCTATCTGTAAGAAATGAATTTTTGTCCTCACTTTTCCAAAAGAAATGATTAAGATTTAGATAAATTGGTTGATTGTGTTCACTAGTGTCTAATAGACATGGATTAACTTCTCTGAGGGTTAAAACAAAGGATGCTTGAACATGTAGAAATGTTCTCAATACACAATTAAAGTAGAGTCTAAAATTTTCAGTGTCGAGCAATTACTATAGACAGTATGTCTCAGATTGAGAATACATTTCACTTTTTCAGATATAACTGTGTGTTGCATGTTTAAGATCTATGAAGTATTTAGCTATTTATCCCTTAAGATTTCTCCGATTTGGTCTATTTTGTCTTTTAAACATATTTAAAAATTAACACACAATAGAACCCTGATCAATCACTCTGCCCTTTTGAAGTCCAGCATATTAGATATTGTTTTTCTGAGAAGTTTGGTACTCTGGTAGTCATTATGCACCCTTGTGTTTGTACTTCTAATAAGTTAACTTTTTCACCCACCATGACTCTCTTTTCTTATGTTTGCAGCTATTCTAAAACCGCTAAGATCAACTATCCCTGTTTATGAAGAAATCATGATAACAGAGTCCAGTATTTTCTGGTAAAAATGAAAACAACCTTGAATCTTATTTTTTTAAATAAGTAAAACCTTAGATGCTCATGAATTAAACATAGAATAGCATCAGATTTTATAAATGAGTGTATTCTAAAGACTGTTGGGAAAGGAAACTTACCAGTAGGAGATGTAAGTTAACAGTCAAAGCATTCATTAAGGCTATTTCTTTCTCACTGGCTCCTGTAAAATAATCATATTATCATGCATATATTTTTATCTAAAGTGCTTGGGAAAACCAGGTAAGGAAGCTTCTGTCAGTCATTCTTAATGTTTTCAGAGATAAGGTCACACTTAAAGCGTCTTATCATGAAGAAAAGGAAGCTTCCCACTTGACCCATTTTATGCATGGTAACTGCACTCGCATGCACAGAGTCAGCTAAGAAGAGGATTTCTTCTGAGGTTATAAATAACAAGACAAAATAATGAAGCCTTTCTTTTGCCTGCAAATTAAAAATGATTTATCACATTTTTCATGAGTTTGCAAAATACCCAATGAGAACATTTTTTGTGGTAAGTGTATTTTCAAAAGAAATCTCAGCAGATATTAGGGTCAATCATTTTTAAAGTTGGTTATTTCTAACATCATCTTTCAAATGCACATTTAACACAAGAAGACTACTTTGCCAAACATATTTTTCTATTGTGACCAGGAGATACATAACAATAAGGCAAAAGGGTTACAAAGCAAAATATAATAACCTAAATAACTCCAGGGTTTATTTACACACACTGAGATAAAAGATAATAAAGATATACATTGTCCAATAAGAAAATATTCAAAATGAAGATAACTACTACAGAATGATATTATGATATAATTTCTCTTAGGAGAAGTTTTGACACTATTGAATCCATAGAATACACTGGTTGCTTGTGAACTCAGGACATATAAATATTTTCATTTATTAATGCTGTATCTTAAAGGCAGTTGGACCCAGGTAGCCTTTACCAACACTGAGGATGGATGCTGTATATCTTAATGTCCATAAGGTTGCTCTGCTGGATGTTAGAGAACATCATAATACAAGGCCTACATTTTGTACCCAAAAAAATACTTCTGATGTCATTTCATTTTAAAGAATACACAGTAAATAGAAGAGTAAGTGTAATTGATTCCAAAAAGAAGTTCATCTAAGGGAAGTCCATGGAACTAAATGTTTAAATTGGGATACTCAAAATTTAAAATAGTTGTATAAGGAGGGTCAAAACTTCTTTTATTCGAAGAAAAAACTCTTTCATTTGTCACATGGACTTCACTGCCTAATGTACAGAGCTGGTGAACAAATGATAGATATCAAAGATGTGACGTTGGTCTTTGAGATGAGTAACATCTGAAGTTAATGGGAAGGAAATCTCACTAAATATCTGCTATCAAGCAGATGCAAATATTATTGTGGCTTTGGTTATTAGGTCTGTAATTAGACTATGCAAGAGTTTTACCTCTGTTTTTCAAAGGGAAGACTTCTGTGGCCCCCATAGGTAGTTGACATACAGCAGAGGCCGCATGAATATTAGGGTAGAGCTGCCAGAGATTATAAACCACTAAATGAAGTCCCCCTATACGTATTAGATAGATGTGGTGAGTTCATGTTGTATGGAGATGTATCCTTCTCCAGTAAGAAAATTTCTTTGAAATACAGTAAAAAACAAAGCACTTCTAGTTTTAAGTATTGCTGCTTCGCAATATTATGGTACAAATTTTATTATTTCTCTCTCTCTCTCTCTCTCTCTCTCTCTCTCTCTCTCTCTCTCTCGATGGAACTGGGGATTGAACTCAGGCCTTTGCGCTTGCCAGGCAAGCACCTATCCTACTGAGCTATCTCCCCAGGTCCACAAATTTTATTATTTCTGAAATAAAATATTATCTAAGATATCTAATCTCATAGTTTTTACTCCATGTTAGTGATTTGCACACATCGTCTCTGAATAACTATTTATTAAATGTTAGCATGGGGAATGGAAGGAGGAGAGAGAGAGAGAGAGAGAGAGAGAGAGAGAGAGAGAGGAATTAGAAAAAGATGTATTTGAAAAAATGTAGCAAGACAAATCATAAGTTATCACAAAATAAAATCAGAGAAATACAAAAGGCAGGAAATAATGAGTGTGCAGGACTTTCTGTAGGAACTCAGGCATTCTATCATGTTCTAATTAAAAGTATGGATTTCTACAATATTTTCCTGCCAGGGGCTGGGGAGATGTCTCAGTAGAATAAGAGCTTGCCTGTCAAGTGAAAGGCAATTTCTGGTTCAGTCTGAGTTCAATCCCTGGTTCCGCAAAAAAAAAAAAAAAAAAAAAAAAAAAAAAAAAAAAAAAAAAAAAAAATCCTGTCAGTTCAGATCATCTCATACTTCTCTGAGATTTCTTGGGAAGATGACAAACTCACACATATGTTCACCCACATATGTATTGGGCTAAATTAACTCAGACTCACATGTAGCCCTCTCTTGCTGCTAGAAGTTGGAAACATTAACAGAAGTGTTTATTACAAATATTACCTAAAAGTAGCAAAGAGTCAGGCATTCCTAACATCAAAGCACTGCCAATTAATCAGATTCTTAGTTTATTTTCAAAAGAAAATTTGCATAATTGACCTATTTTTTTGGGTTCCTGTTATTCTTCTAAGCATTGTTCTTCTAAGTCATTTTAGTCTTTTTGGCATTTCATAAGAAAATGAAACACTTTATAAATAGAATATTTTTGAACTTATTTTTGTTGTTGTTTTTGTTTCTTTTCTTATACCTGAGAGGCTTCTTTGATTTAATATGAAAACAAGAATTCTAAGTATATGGGGACAAAATTTTAACAACATCTAGAAAGATTAATAGAATTTGAAAGCTTCTTCAGATGGGTGTGAACTATGACTTTCATTCAACAAATGTTCATGCGCTCTTTATTTACTGAGCAGCAACATTTGCTTTATCAGAAGGTGAAGCTTAAGTCGGTGCAAGCCTGTCTTTCTTCCCTCAGTCTGGACCATTAACAAGATGGGGCAACACTTCCAGATCCTTGACTTGCCTTAGCTCAGGCAGTTTTCACCGCAATATGACAAAGTTTCTACAGTTTTCTTTAGTGTATCCATGTGGAAAGGAACCTCAAAAGAGAGGAACTAACTTACTCAAATTATGGTAGAAAAAAGATAGTAATCTTTGGTCATGTTCATGTTTGGAAGCATTATTTATAATATAATAATTGTAAGGTATGTATAGGAGACGAGTGCTCATAACCATTCTCTGTGTCTTTCTTACTATGCTACAATTTCTAATCTTTCCCTACAGGAAGATGACAATGGTGATAGAGTGGTCACCACTATTTCATAACAAATGTCAGTTGGGATTTTCTTACTGCCACAGCATGTTCTGCAAATGTTATCAAGCAGAAGCAAATATTATTGTGGCTTTGGTTATTAGGTCTGTAATTAGACTATGCAAGAGTTTTACCTCTATTTTTAAAAGGAAGACTTCTGTGGCCCCAAGGGGTAGTTGACATACAGTAGAGGCTGCATGAATATTAGGGTAGAGCTGCCAGAGATTATTGCTTCTTCAAGGCCAGCCGCAATTTTCATAAGCCAAATGTATATTTCTATTGCAGAACTTTTATAAGCTCAAATGCATGTATCTATCCCTTTGTGATTTTTATGTATCCAGGGAAAAGGAGGCATAAGAATACTAATAATACTAATAATATTCTTCAGCAATTTTATTTCTAGTATCTTGATAGTATGACATTAATTATAAGAGAAAGTTATTCCATGTTTTGTGGAATTGTTGGCTCTATATAAATTCTTTATTAATCATTTTTCTGCACATCTAAAATTGAAATTTTTTCTGTCCAGGCACATTGTCTTTTTTCTCTCTTTGTTCCAGCAATTTGTACCCATAATCTTTTTTTATTATCCTCCATTGTTAAATATTTTTTGAGAAATTATATGGTAAAGTAAAGCTGTGATTGTAGGAACCTAGAGGGTTCAATCTTAGCCCAAACTATATACATTTCTGTTCATGACATATTTATATATATGTAAGTGAATTTGACCCTTACTAAACTTGAGTGTAGATAGTACACAATTGCTGTGATTGATTATTTTATGATTTAAACCACATCTACTTTCAGAGTTTTGGGTTCTTATACTACAGTTTCAGACAGAACAATACAAAACGATGTGGAAAGGGATGCGGCCCAGTGGGGCAGTACTTGTCTACACATAAAAAGGTCTGGGTTTCATTAACATCACCAAAACCACCAAATAAACATGAAATTAATGAAAGACAATAACAAAAAAAAAAAAAAGCAAACACAACCTGCCAATCACAAGCAATCAAAAATAATTTAATATTTTTGGTAGCTCAATATTGATCCAAATGTTCAGAACTTTCAAGTAAACAGTGCAAATAAGGGGAACTGCATGCAGTTTACAGTAAACAGATGAACACACTATTAAACAAAAATTACAGGAAGCCATTGTTTTAGACAAAGCCCCTACTAGACTTCAACAGCCCTGAATAAATATCAAAAATGGAGTTGCTTAGCTAAAGTGTTAGGTCAACAAACTGAAACTTAGCTGCTTATCCAAGCTGAGAAATCAAGAATAAAGAGACAATGAAATTTCCCGAACAGATTCAATTGACAAAAGAACCCAGTTCCCTCTGTCTAACTTCTTCCGCTGAAAAAAGTAACCTGCACTAATCAGATGTTAACCATTCTATTTCTTTCCCTCCAATTTGCAAGAAAATACCTTTGAAATGAACAGCCTATTTTCTCTTTCTCATTTCTGATTTCTTTAGCTTTTTTTAGGTCCATAACCCCAACCTTTTCTGCTTAACTGGAACACTCATTCACTTTGATGGAAGAGTTATTCAATTCTAGATTAAATTATTATGCTAATTGAGTATTTAAATTATTATAATTTGTTCTTTAGCACACACACATGCACACCACATATACAATAACTTTTGATTTTTTCCCATCAAAATAACCAGTGAATTGATTTACAATTTTGATTTAACGACCATTTAACTAATACAGAGAGTTTTCGAAGTACAGAAATTTGGGAGATAATAATTCATCATGGCTTGGGGTCTTGCAAGGGAAACAATGCAATAAAGGATACATTTTATAATATTATTTTATTATGAATCACCCAAAGAATCATATACAGAGTGTAGAAAATCTGTCAACACTTT